TCCGTGAGACATAGATAAGAGGAGCTAAACCCTCAGTCTAGCCATTTCGTGACGCATAGATTAGACGAGTTTCATCTTTAGTTTAGTCTTTCCGTGATGCGTAGATAAGATGAGCTAATCTCTAGTTTAGTCATTCCGTGACGCATAGATAAGAGGAGCCGCACATTTAGTCTAGCCCCTCGGCGACACATGGATAAGGCGAGGTACATCTTTTGTCTAAACATCCCATGATGCATACGAGCTACATAGCCTTTGGTCTATCTCTCCCTCGAGACATGCTCCAAAAGTGCCTTTAAGGACCATATCTGTGCACACCTACAATACGAACTAAATGAATTACATTTTCTTTTTTCTACTTGTGCTATCTAGTATTTGATAGTTGGTAATTTAACGCGAAGCCTATTGCGTTATCCTCATGTTTCCCGTAGAAACGTGAAGATCCGGGGTAGAATAGGTCTTCAGCAACCCATGCTTGCCGTAATAGGCGACTATGCCTGTCGTAAGAAGCGACTAACGGGATCGGGTGGTCAGACTCGCTGACTTGGTTGATGCATGTCATCGTATCCCAATTGCGTGGATCGATGCTCATGATGTCAATCACTGGATTGTCTGGTCCAGACACGATTATTTACAGACCGCCGTCATATAGCTGGAATATTGCTGAGTGCGGCGTTAATCAACAAACAAACAAAGACAACACATAATGCTGACACACTGTGCACATACCAACGTTTTCAACAATGTTGACTGTATAAAGAAATTGGAATGAAGCGACGTCATCAACTGATGGCGTCATACTTGTATACATCCACTGATCCATCGTAGATTCGAATTTAAATGTTCTAACATGTTTCTTTCATATCATTACCACAATGCTTATGATTCAATATTCATGTACTGTGATGGCTGACGAATCTGCCCATGTTTTTGTCCTGTTTCTGAACCAATCAGACTCTGACCCAAAAGCTTATTTGTTTCACAGTTGGCTGTAATAGACTTACTGTAATATACTGGGACGTATTTGCTCACATATGTCTTGATGGCGTTATACACCTTCATGGCGTCATCTCGGTAGTAGTAAGGGCCCAAAACATCAGCACTATCGACCTGAAAATAGAGTGAGTGAGTGAGTGAGTGAGGTTTTACGCCGCTTTTAGCAATATTCCAGCAATATCACGGCGGGGGACACAAGAAATGGGCTTCACACATTGTACCCATGTCAGGAATCGAACCCGGGTCTTCGGCGTGACGAGCGAACGCTTTAACCACTAGGCTTCCCGACCGCCCCCCTGAAAATAGGAAACAGTTCCATAAAGTTAATGTACAAATAGATGTAGGAGAAGGAGAAGAAGAAGATGGAGAAGAAGAGGAGAATGAGTAATGAGTAGGAGGGGAGGAGATGTTTGAGAAGAAGGCTCAGAGCTGCAAATAAGCTACGTGTTTGTGTTAAATACCCCCTAAAATAAAATGTGTACATGAATTAAATATTCAAAACCCAATTACTTTCAATTAACTTGCGTACAGTAACCCATGCATTAAATGAAAAAATGTATAAAACAGCACAAGTAAATACCCAATGAAGTTTTTTCAGTATGCGTACAACGGAGCTAATTTCACAATTACAAGATATTTTACTTTCCGAGTCAAGCCCATATTTAGAACCGTTAAATACATCTGAAACACTATTTCATTTTTTTGAAATCTCAAAATGTTTACTCATTTGGAGAAAAATCCACATGAGTGATGAATAGATAAGTGAAAAAATATTCGTTACCCAATGTAAAATGTAATAAAACAATTGAAATGGAGACCTTCGAGTAAAACTTCAGATGCTCAATAGTTATCTGGAGCTCTGAGAAGGGGAGAAGGGGAGGAGTAGAAGGGGAAAGGAATTAAAGAGGAGTTGAGCAGGTGATATTAGATTAAAGACTGAAAGAGTGTGGTTTTACGCCGCTTTTAGCAATGTTCCAGCAATATCACAGCGGGGGACCCCAGTAATGGGCTTCACACATTGTACCCGCAATTCGCTGTTCAGAGTTGCGTCCCTTGGGCACACCAGAAATCTATGATGGTGGGTTCGAATCCCGATTCGCCACGATTATGTTTCTAGGTTAGTCAGTACCATACCCGTGCTCGTGGGTTTCACCGAAATGGTAAACGTCGGAGACCTGCATCACACCGGGCTTTCCTGCCACATTAAGCTGACACGCCGCGATATAACTGGAATACTGTTAAAAGCGGCGTTAAATACAACTCACTCACTCACACATTGTACCCATGTCAGGTATTAACCTGTTTTTCGCCGTGACGAGCGAAGGCTTTAACCACTAGGCTGCGAGCAGGAGCAAAAGTATAAAAGAAGCGACAGACAGAGAAGAATAGTGAGGGGGAAGAGGCGGCGAGCTGATGAATATGAGGAGGCAGTAAAAGGATAAATGTTTTACTTGTGGATATGGAAAGAATTTTGTAGCTTTTATTTACAATATCAATACGAAGCCCAAGGGCCTCGATTGCTCAAAACGGAAAGGCTTTATTCATTTTCACCAGAAAACTGCAAATACGGGTCCTAATGCCAACAGGTATGTGACACCAATTGTTGTGGAGAAAAGACGAATGGTATACACTTCAACGACGTCGCCTTCCACTGCGCAACAAACATTGTAAGCAGAGACTGCGCAACACCAATAATATAACACAGCAACTGCACCGATAATAATTAGAAGATGACGAAGAAGACGACGAACAAGAAGAAGACGACGAACAAGAAGAAGACGACGAACAAAAAGAAGAAGATGAACAAGAAGAAGACGACGAACAAGAAGAAGACGACGAACAAGAAGAAGACGACGAACAAGAAGAAGACGACGAACAAGAAGACGACGAACAAGAAGAAAACGACGAACAAGAAGAAGACGATGAACAAGAAGAAGACGACGAACAAGAAGAAGACGACGAACAAGAAGAAGAAGATGAACAAGAAGAAGACGACGAACAAGAAGAAGACGACGAACAAGAAGAAGACGACGAACAAGCAGACGACGAACAAGAAGAAAACGACGAACAAGAAGAAGACGATGAACAAGAAGAAGACGACGAACAAGAAGAAGACGACGAACAAGAAGAAGACGACGAACAAGAAGAAGACGACGAACAAAAAGAAGAAGATGAACAAGAAGAAAAAGACGAACAAGAAGAAGACGACGAACAAGAAGAAAAAGACGAACAAGAAGAAGACGACGAACAAGAAGAAGACGACGAACATGAAGAATTCTTGGCTTGACCTAACAACCCTGTACGTGTCTCCTGCATTACCTGGACACTAAGTATGGTCGTGTAGATGACAAACTCCGGTGATGAATGTGTAGATGCTACCATGTATTTAACATGACATGCACTATAACTTAGACTTTCTACAGTGACTGAAGACCACTAGGGGCACGTTTTACTCTCAAAGCCTACTGTTAACATTTAGACATACCCCTCTGCTCCTCAGGTCTTCTGGTAAAGTGCCGTCCACGTCCAGACGCCATGTTCTCAGACTGTTAAACAACACAGATGTTTGTAATAAAGAATTGATCTGAGTCGTAATTAAATTACATATATTCATTTATTATCTTCATTGTCAGGTGTTTTGAATTCATGTTGCAAATTGAACCTACATTATATCCTATACTAACCTTTTGGCAATAAGACTTTTAACGCCTTTTACTCCAGAAGACATCAACGTGTCAAAAGCTCCCCTTCTCAGCAGCAGATCACGGCCCTTCCTTAAATCATGGAACAAGGTATAATCTTTGAACAGCTTATTCCAGACGTAGTCTCTTAATGCTTTTGTTTGTTTGTTTGTTGTTTTACGTCGCACTCAGCAATATTCCAGTTATATGACGGCGCTCTGTAAATAATCGAATATGCTTGTCGTAAGAGGCAACTAACGGGATCGGGTGGTCAGGCTCGTTCACTTGGTTGATGCATGTCATCGATCCCATTTGCATGGATCGATGCTCATGATATCAATCACTGGATTGTCTGGGACAGACTCGATTATTTACAGACCGCCGTCATATAGCTGGAATATTGGTGAGTGCGGCATTAAACAATAAAACAACAAAAACAACTACAACCAGTCACGAAGGGTGTAAACCATATGCTAACATTTCATGTGTCACTTTATGTACTATGTATATTCTAATGTCTGAGGACCGCCTCCGTGGTCTAGTGGTAGAACTTCCGCCGGTTTCGATCCCCGGCCGCGTCATACCAAAAGTCGTTAAAAGGTGGTACTTGTTGTTACCCTCTCTGGCGCTCGGCATCAAGGGGCTAAAACAAGGACTCGTAGGCTCGGAGTCAGTATACTGTGTCTGAGTGGGGTATTCATGTTAAACTGCGGCATGGTATGTCAGTGGGCTAGCACTATAAATCGGCATCAGTCCGGACTAGCACACACACACACACACACACACACACACACGCACACGCACATGCACAAGCACACACGCACACACACACACGCACACACACATGCACACACACACATGCACGTCGCTATATAAGTGCAATAATCTTGGACGCGACGTTGAACCCAATTTCACCTCACCTCACCTCTAATGTCTGAGAGTCATTACAAGTGTTTATTAGTTAAGAGGCTTTATAGGGAAGCATACAGCGGACACTCGTAGCAAAACATTGGCAGCAATATTGAGAGAATTGACAAAATGTACTTAAAGTTTGCATGTTTTATATTAATATTTGCAGCCCACCCTTTTTAGTCCAGATTGATATTAGTCTCATCTGAAGTTCGCTACACCATGTGCATAACACATTGTCACTGTACTAGTTCTGTGCTATGTAGCGGTATTTAGTGTACAGTGGAGGCCGAACTACCTCAACTACCTACTACTTGGAACATGATATGGAGGAAAGAATATTATTTGAGAGAATAGATTTACGTGTATGGCATTTATGTCAGCAGATCGGGCCGAAATTGTCCTTCTGATACGTACTGGTTGATAGCCATAGTGTAAAAGAGGTGCGGTGCCAGGAGCTTGTAGATCGGGTGATACACAGAGAGCTGCCTGTGAGTTACCAGGTCCACTCCCTCCATCAGCAGGTGGGTGATACCTGTACACAGTGCAATGACATCTGGTATGTTATGTGACATGGACGCATCAGTAGGGTTTGTTTACTTGTTTGTCGTTTAACACCGTCTTCAGCAATATTCCAGCTATATAACGGCGGTCTGTAAATAATCGAGTCTGGACCAGACAATCCAGTGACCGACATCATGAACATCGGTCCACGCAATTGGGATATGATGACATGTATCAACCAAGCCTGACAACCCGATACCGTTAGTCGCCTCTTACGACAAGCATAGTCGCCTTTAAAAGCAAGCATGGGTTGCTGAAGACCTATTCTACCCCGGATCTTCACGGGTCGCATCGTTAGGACCATTCACATTTACATTCATTTAACTGAAGACATTTCTTAAATGACATACAGGGAAATATGTTGATTGAAAGCCAACCATGACAGTATATATATTTTAATAAACTATGATCAGGTTGTTTTTGGCTGCTCTATCACCATTACCAAGGTGAGCTACGCTCTGGTGGTATGTCGTCTCTGCTTGGTTGTACCACATCTTGGCCAACAGCCACACGTACTGGTCATCTGACGGCAGGAACACCTGGTGTCAAGAAAGATAAAACGTCAACGTCACAGAATCATCAGTCTCAATTATGCACCGAAGCAGATTCCATGAAAAGGCAAAATAGCAATGACACTAGGTGTAAGCACATCCTGCCCTACCGATATCAGCAGCCACAATTACTCCTTGAATCAATCAATCAAAATATACTCCTGCCACGCAGAGACGGCCTGTAAACAACTGTTCTATTCGATGTTTTGTAATTCAAAACACACACATAGCATCTCCTAATTTGATAAACATAGCGGGACGCTACAGGTAAAACCTTGAACCTTGAAATGTACATAACAATATGTCTGACCTTACGGCTGAACATTGTCATTGTCGACAATCTTTCAAAGAGGCCTATTTTTCAAGAACTGACCACATGGGTTTTATTTATTAAAGAACGTAATTTCATAATATGGTGAAGGCTACCGGACCACATGGCCGATCACCGTTTAGGAGTCATAAAGCATTAAACAGAGTATATTAAAAAAAGCATGATTTTCTGCTATATGAGGGAAAAAAGACTTAATTGTTACGCATGGTCTATAATAATTATTAAATATGTCCATTAAAGACTTGAAATTGTTTTGAGGTATCGTAAAGGTACCACATAGACGGACGCACTTGTATGCAGCATAAATTGGGCACCGTGACGCTGCAGAAGACGCTGGGAAAGCAATATTTTATGTTCGCTTTATCGGGCACCTTTCATCCTTCCTTACAGCGGAAGAGCGATCATGATCTGTTTCCGCCCCACATAATGCTATACACATCTATACATACCTCATCTATTTGTGTATTGTAGTGGTCGTCTTTTACTAATTAACGTATGTACATTTGGTGAAGCACGCTCGTTGGCTAAAGAACTGAGAATACGTCATGTATTACCGGGTTGTCTGGTCCTGGTTCCTGGAACAGCTGGATGGCGACTGGAAGCAGCTGGCCACTGTTGGTTCTGTACAGCAACAGGATCGGGGCACATACCTGTAGAGAGAGTGGAATGATTTTGAGTTTTAGTAAAATACAGTACTGTAGAATGTAAGTAATGTAACCTTGCCCTGCTTTCCCGCAGCCACCAACAGATGCAGGACAAGACAACAGAGCTGGAAACCACCTCTTCACAGGTTGGTCTCAAGATCCATGAGGGCAAGACCAATATCCTCTTGATCAACATGAAAAGCGAGGACCGACTCATACTGCATGGAAGCGAGCTGGAAGAAGTGGAGGCCTTTACATATCTGGGCAGCATCATTGATAAGCAGGGAGGCACAGACGCAGACGTCAGAGCAAGAATCGGCAAGGCAAGGACAGCATACTTGCAGCTGAAGAACATATGGAGCTCCAAGGTGGTATCGAGTAGCACGAAAATCAGGCTGTTCAACTCTGGCTCTGGATAGACTCGGAAAACGTTGAAGAATGAATCTACGTCAGAAATGGAGACTAAGCCGGGTTCAGAACACATTTGAATTACTGAAGATAACATTTATTCTTGATCTTGACGACATGATTCAACTATTTTGTTATTTTAATACTATATACTATTATGAATAATAAAGATACACTTAGAAAATGTGAGACTCTTATGTTCATCTGGTTAGCGCGCAACCCCTCATCTTTGGGAAGAAACTGTATATAGAAATCACTTGCCACGTTTTTTCCTACCTCCCGAACCCACCAGATAATTTATAGAAGACGTAACGGTTTCAGATTCATATGGGGAAGTAAACCGGACAAGGTGAAAAGAGATTAACAAATGTGTAGCGTCAAAGATGGAGGTTTAAATATACCAAAATATAGGAAATAATACAAGCACAAACAATTTCATTGATAAATAGATTCTACGCAGAGGTCATCAAAAGGAGACGAACATTTTTCCAACAACATATTATAAACTTGGATCTTCGAATATATTCGAAAGTTACTGTGAAAACATTCTATATTGTGACCTTCTTTCTGCCAAGTGGAACTTCACTTCTTGCTCAGAGAATGCCAACATTGAAAATATGAAAATAACTTCGCCAAAAAAAAATTTCTAATTAATAGAAATGCATACTATATATAAGTAGAATGAGAAAGGGGTACGTTATGTGAATGACCTGCTCAGGCATCAGGCCAATTGTATCATATAATAAGTCTAAGTTTTATATTAAATGTCAAAGCAAGATTTTGTGTAATATAGGGGGATAATAAGTTCAATCACAAAATTGTGTTCCGCAAATAATACGAAATTAGAAAACCTAAAAACACAAGAAAATCCTGTCCAATCTTACACTTTGAAGTGACTACTTTAACAACCCAAGGGTAGCCAGTTTAACTAGAGAGAGGGGGTTAGTTATATCAAAATCCCCCGTCACGAGATGAGAGAAACATCATATTTCAATCGACACATGGAATATCCTATTTATTATATTTTTTGTGTAGTTGTCTACCAGAAAATTAAATTATTTCATTACAAATGTAAAACATTTAAACGTAAATTATCCCTACCCAACACACAGGGACCGTCACCACCCCTTGTATTTGCGACTTAAAAGTAGTTTCCTGTTTGCAAAATCTTTAAAAAAATAAACAAAGGTATAAAATGATATTTAGGGTCTCGAAAATTCTTTATCATACATTAAGATACGATTATATACAAAATCAACTTTAATAAAAATATATTCTTGAAAACCGCTAGGACACCGCTGTTGCCAGTGTTGAAAGCGAAAGAATACACGCTGGTCAAGTAACAAAAATGGGGCTTTGCGAAACGAACAGTCTCGATTGACGATTTAAATGAGAAATTTACAGTTGATAAGGAAACAATTTCGAGGGAATAACAAACGGCAAGAAGTGATATTAACTCCATAACGATCTGTCATTATTTTGCCTTGTCAATGTGGACCTAAAGTAAAACGAACGTCAACAGTTTGTGTACGGGCTAGTCATTTACGACAATCATCGATCCCAATTGCGTGGATCGATGCTCATGATATTAATCACAGGATTGTCTGGTCCAGACTCGATTATTTACAGACAGCCATTATATAGCTGGAATATTGCTGAGTGCGGCGTTAAACAACACACCAACCAACCAACACTTACGACAAAGGGAGGCAATATTAAGGGGAGGTAACTCTTGTATGACAAGAGCTCCGTCAAGGTGTTATGTTCACTGCAGTGAAATATCAAGTGATATGTTCACTGCAATGACAATATCAATTTTCTCAACTTCGGAAAACTCAGTCTTTCACACTGATGTATATAATATGAACTTACAGTATAGTCCTTCTTGTGAGGGATGTCTTCCAGTATTCTCAAGTCGCAATAAAACAACTTCCCATCTTTAAGAGCCACCTGTAGAGAAGACGTTTCCCCGAAAGGCGTCAGGTCAATGTCCTCGACAGCTAACCTGAACGATACACTCATGATTAAGATTCGGTATCAAGTTATTGTCTCCAAACGCTGAAACAGGTCGATTAATTAAGTCCTTGATAACTTCGTGACTGTTGGACAATTTAACTTACCTGTCTGGGATTTGTTTGCAGTGATGGATCAAGTTGGGACAGGGACCCGCAAGCCTTTGATAAGCAAAAAAACCAGTCTTCCTTCCAAAATGCAATGGCCTGAAAGCATTACAATAATCTAGATATGTTATATATCCTCAGGCCTAATAAAAGTAACAAACTCAGGCTCCAACATAAAATAGAAACAGTATCATGAACAAGCCTCTAGTGCATGCAAGCTTGACTAACTGTATTATTAACAAGTTCTAGTCACCTGCATACACGAAGAACCAAAGCATAAAAAGCTTAAGGCACCTGCATACACGAAGAACCATAGCACAAAAAGCTTAAGGCACCTGCATACACGAAGAACCATAGAATAAAAAGCTTGAGACATACATGAAGAACCATACCATTTACAAGTTTTAGGCACCTGTATACACGAAGAACCAAAGAATAAACAAGCTTTAGGCACCTGCATACACGAAAAACCATATGATAAACAAGCTTTAGGCACCTGTATACACGAAGAACCAAAGAATAAACAAGCTTTAGGCACCTGCATACACGAGGAACCATATGATAAACAAGCTTTAGGCACCTGTATACACGAAGAACCAAAGAATAAACAAGCTTTAGGCACCTGCATACACGAAGAACATAAGAATAAAGAAGCTTTAGGCACGTGCATACACGAAGAACCATATGATAAACAAGCTTTAGGCACCTGCATACACGAAGAACCATATGATTAACAAGTTTTAGGCACCTGCATACACGAGGAACCATAGCATAAACAAGCTTTAGGCACCTGTCAACACGAAGAAGCAAAGAATAAATAAGCTTTAGGCACGTGCATACACGAAGAACCATATGATAAACAAGCTTTAGGCACCTGTATACACAAAAGAACCATATGATAAAGAAGCTTAAGGCACCTGCATACACGAGGAACCATAGCATAAACAAGCTTTAGGCACCTGCATACACGAGGAACCATAGCATAAACAAGCTTTAGGCACCTGTCAACACGAAGAACCAAAGAATAAAGAAGCTTTAGGCACGTGCATACACGAAGAACCATATGATAAACAAGCTTTAGGCACCTGCATACACGAAGAACCATATGATAAACACGTTTTAGGCACCTGCATACACGAAGAACCATATGATAAGCACGGTTTAGGCACCTGCATACACGAAGAACCAAAGAATAAATAAGCTTTAGGCACCTGCATACACAAAAGAACCATATGATAAACAAGCTTTAGGCACCTGCATACACGAAGAACCATAGAATAAACAAGTTTTAGGCACCTGCATACACGATAACCAAAGAATAAACAAGCTTTAAGCACCTGCCTACACGGAGAAGCAAAGAATAAACAAGCTTTAAGCACCTGCATACACGAGAAACCAAAGAATAAACAATCTTGAAGCACCTGCATACAGGAAGAACCATATGATAAAGAAGTTTTAGGAACCTGCATTCACGGAGAACCAAAGAATAACCAAGTTTAAGGCACCTGCATACACGAAGAATCAAAGAATAAACGAGTCTAAGGCACCTGCATACACGAAGAACCATATGATAAAGAAGTTTTAGGCACCTGCATTCACGAAGAACCATAGAATAAACAAGCTTTAATATAGACACCCAAGTACACGAAGAACCATGCCATTAACAAGTTTTAGGCACCTGTATACACGAAGAAGCAAAGAATAAACAAGCTTCAGCACCTTTTTTAAACCATATGATAAACAAGCTTAAAGCACCTGCATATACGAGAAACCAAAGAATAAACAATCTTGAAGCACCTGCATACACGAAGAACCATATGATAAAGAAGTTTTAGGAACCTGCATTCACGAAGAACCAAAGAATAACCAAGTTTTAGGCACCTGCATACACGAAGAACCAAAGAATAAACGAGTCTAAGGCACCTGCATACACGAAGAACCATGTGATAAAGAAGTTTTAGGAACCTGCATTCACAAAGAACCAAAGAATAACCAAGTTTTAGGCACCTGCATACACGAAGAACCAAAGAATAAACGAGTCTAAGGCACCTGCATACACGAAGAACCATGTGATAAAGAAGTTTTAGGCACCTGCATTCACGTAGAACCATAGAATAAACAAGCTTTAATATAGACACCCACGTACACGAAGAACCATGCCATTAACAAGTTTTAGGCACCTGTATACACGAAGAAGCAAAGAATAAACAAGCTTCAGCACCTTTTTTTAACCATATGATAAACAAGCTTTAGGCACCTGCATACACGAAGAACCGTATGATAAACAAACTTGAGGCCCCTGTATACACGAAGAACCACATCATAACCATGCCTCTGAATGGGTTATGGTCTGACCTTTTACCCGAAGAACATTATAACTAAACAGGTCTTTGGTGTTGCTATGCATGAAGACACACATCATAAATAGGTATTGTGCCTATCGTCCCTTCAGTCATCAAACCTACATATTTTGGTTCGGGATAGTCGGGTTCCTTGTAAAGCTGCTTCAGTTCATCAAGGTGGCTCAGCTTCGCTTTCCAAGGCATTATCAGTTGCTTAAACCATCGTATCAAATCCGACAACCACACTTGTATTGTCCCAAATAGGAGGAGAGCTGCTTTCCAGACAAAGAACACCTTAAATCAACAAAAGGAAGAAATCAAATCACTGTGGTGCTATGTAGTATGTGTATTATTGTACATTCATTCAAATCACTGTGGTGCTATGCAGAATGTGTATAATTGTACATTCATTCAAATCGCTGCTGTGCTATGTTGTATGTGTATAATTGTACACTCATTCAAATCACTGTGGTGCTATGTAGTGTGTGTACAATTGTACATTCATTCAAATCAATTTGGTGCTATGTAGTATGTGTATTATTGTACATTCATTCAAATCACTGTGGTGCTATGTAGAATGTGTATAATTGTACATTCATTCAAATCGCTGCTGTGCTATGTTGTATATGTATAATTGTACACTCATTCAAATCACTGTTGTGCTATGTAGTATGAGTACATTTGTACATTCATTCAAATCACTGTGGTGCTATGTAGTATGTGTATTATTGTACATTCATTCAAATCACTGTGGTGCTATGTAGTATGTGTAGTATTGTACATTCATTCAAATCACTGTGGTGCTATGTAGTATGAGTACATTTGTACATTCATTCAAATCACTGTGGTGCTATGTAGTATGTGTATTATTGTACATTCATTCAAATCACTGTGGTGCTATGTAGTGTGTGTACAATTGTACATTCATTCAAATCAATTTGGTGCTATGTAGTATGTGTATTATTGTACATTCATTCAAATCACTGTGGTGCTATGTAGTGTGTGTACAATTGTACATTCATTCAAATCAATTTGGTGCTATGTAGTATGTGTATTATTGTACATTCATTCAAATCACTGTGGTGCTATGTAGTGTGTGTACAATTGTACATTCATTCAAATCAATTTGGTGCTATGTAGTATGTGTATAATTGTACATTCATTCAAATCGCTGCTGTGCTATGTTGTATATGTATAATTGTACACTCATTCAAATCACTGTGGTGCTATGTAGTATGAGTACATTTGTACATTCATTCAAATCACTGTGGTGCTATGTAGTATGAGTACATTTGTACATTCATTCAAATCACTGTGGTGCTATGTAGTATGAGTACATTTGTACATTCATTCAAATCACTGTGGTGCTATGTAGTATGTGTAGTATTGTACATTCATTCAAATCACTGTGGTGCTATGCAGAATGTGTATAATTGTACATTCATTCAAATCGCTGCTGTGCTATGTTGTATGTGTATAATTGTACACTCATTCAAATCACTGTGGTGCTATGTAGTATGAGTACATTTGTACATTCATTCAAATCACTGTGGTGCTATGTAGTATGAGTACATTTGTACATTCATTCAAATCACTGTGGTGCTATGTAGTATGTGTAGTATTGTACATTCATTCAAATCACTGTGGTGCTATGCAGAATGTGTATAATTGTACATTCATTCAAATCGCTGCTGTGCTATGTTGTATGTGTATAATTGTACACTCATTCAAATCACTGTGGTGCTATGTAGTATGAGTACATTTGTACATTCATTCAAATCACTGTGGTGCTATGTAGTATGTGTATAATTTGAAATATATTCCTTCAAAAAACTTTGGTGCTATGTTGTATGTGTAGTATTGTACAATCATTCAAATCACTGTGGTGCTGTAGTATGTGTATAATTTGAAATATATTCCTTCAAAAAACTTTGGTGCTATGTCGTATGTGTATAATCTCACATTCATTGAAATCACTGTTGTGCTATGTAGTATGTGTATAATTGTACATTCATTCAAATCACTGTGGTGCTATGCAGAATGTGTATAATTTTTACAGTCATTCAAGTCACTGTTCTGCTATGTTGTATGTGTATAATTGTACATTTATTCAAATCACGGTTGTGCTATGTAGTGTGTGTACAATTGTACATTCATTCAAATCACTGTTGTGCTATGTAGTATGTGTATTATTGTACATTCATTCAAATCACTGTGGTGCTATGTAGAATGTGTATAATTGTACATTCATTCAAATCGCTGCTGTGCTATGTTGGATGTGTATAATTGTACACTCATTCAAATCACTGTGGTGCTATGTAGTATGTGTACAATTGTACATTCATTCAAATCACTGTGGTGCTATGTAGTATGTGTATTATTGTACATTCATTCAAATCACTGTGGTGCTATGCAGAATGTGTATAATTTTACATTCATTCAAATCACTGTGGGTCTATGTAGTATGTGTACAATTGTACATTTATTCAAATCACTGTTGTGCTATGTAGTATGTGTATTATTGTACATTCATCAAAATCACTGTGGTGCTATGCAGAATGTGTATAATTTTACATTCATTCAAATCACTGTGGGTCTATGTAGTATGTGTACAATTGTACATTTATTCAAATCACTGTTGTGCTATGTAGTATGAGTACAATTGTACATTCATTCCAATCACTGTGGTGCTATGTAGTATGTGTACAATTGTACATTCATTCAAATCACTGTGGTGCTATGTAGTATGTGTATAATTGGAAATTCATTCAAATCACTCTGGTGCTATATAGTATGTGTATAATTGTACATTCATTCAAATCACTGTGGTGCTATGCAGAATGTGTACAATTGTACATTCATTCAAATCACTGTTGTGGTATGTAGTATGTTTATAATATCACATTAATTCAAATCACTGGAGTGCTATGTAGTATCTATAATTTAATATTCTTTCTTGTGACTGTGATGCTATATGGTATGTGTATTGCTTTACTTTCATTCAAATCAATGTTGTGCTACGCAGAATGTGTACAATTGTACATTATTTCTAAACACTGTGGTACTTGTATTATCTTACATTTACAAGCCGTGTACCTTTGAACTTAGGCTTATAATAAGGCAACTCACTTTATAGCGACATGAAAAGTCCTTCTCAGGCGGCAGGTTCAGTACCTAATTAGGAAAAAAGAAGTTATACGTATGTCTACAGTGAGCGACTGAGTTTAACGGGGCAGTATCTCATTTATATCAAGGCTCGGCTCATGTGTGTGTGGGGGGGTGGAGGGTGGTGGGGTGGGGATGGGGGTGGGGGGAGTGGCGGCATGGGTATGGTGCTGATAAAAAAAAAGGATGTACTGGTCTTGGGGCGAACAAGGAAAGCGACTCTAACAACTGAAGCTACTGTGCCACTCGTGACTCCCAGGTGTCTGAGAGAAGCAAGGTACAATATTACACAGCCAAATCAAGGCCAGGTGGTGTAAGGAAGGCCGACTGGCTGCTCATATCAATGGGTGGACTGACCCGGCGGGTCGCTCTTAAAAGATAGTAGATTGACAAAGGACTGCTGATATCAATGGGTGGACTGACCCGGCGGGTCGCTCTTAAAAGATAGTAGATTGACAAAGGACTGTTGATATCAATGGGTGGACTGAGGAGTCGAGGCTGCTCGTATCAAGAGGTTGGGCATGCCTGGCCAGGTGGCTGATACGAGTACATACGGTTGGCCTGACTCAGGGACCCTGATCCCATAAAGAGGCAGACTGATAAACATGGGTGGACCGACCAGGCTAGGCGGACTGATAAACATGGGTGGACCGACCAGGCTAGGCACACTGATATAAATGGGTGGACTGTCAAGGCTAGGCGGACTGATATCAATGTGTGGACTGAAGAGGCTAGACAGACTGATATCAATGGGTGGACCGACAAGGCTAGAGAGACTGATATAAATGGGTGGACCGACAAGGCTAGGCAGACTGGTATCAATGGGTGGACCGACCAGGCTAGGCACACTGATATACATTGGTGGACTGTCAAGGCTAGGCGGACTGATATCAATGGGTGGACTGTCAAGGCTAGAGAGACTGATATCAATGGGTGGACCGACAAGGCTAGAGAGACTGATATAAATGGGTGGACCGACAAGGCCAGGCAGACTGGTATAAATGGGTGGACCGACAAGGCCAGGCAGACTGGTATAAATGGGTGGAATGACAAGGCTAGGCAGACTGATATAAATGGGTGAACTGACAAGGCTGGGCAGACTGATATAAATCAGTTCAAAATGTGAAAAACTGGAGGATTCTGTTACAGAATTACATTGAGATATAAACACCATGAAACAGATCATGATACAATGTATTCTCCTCACAAAATGTTAAGCAACAAGTATTATTTTCTGTGCAACATTCTCATCAGTGTTGAATGCCATCCATTGAGAACAAATTCAGGCAGGAGAATTACCTACGAATACTCGACTTAAAGCCATTTCCATGTAGATTTTCCTGATAACACTGATAACATCGCCTGAACACAACCACCCTCAAAACACACATGCAAAATGCACGACATGCATGTTTTACACATTTCACCCATGCACCCTGATTGCTTAAAAACTGCAAGCAAGGGCAATTTGTCGACATTAACACTTTAGACATGGCTAGGCGTCACTTGACGCCAAAGGAGGTTGCTCAGATTGTTGCAATGGTACAGGGGGGTCTCACCCAAACTGCTGTTGCCAATCATTTTAATGTTTACCGCAGTGTCATCTCAAGGGCGATAACTCGATACCATCAAACTGGACTAATGGCAGAGAGACCACGCACAGGTCGTCAAAGGGTGAGGACCGGTATTTAGCAACCCATCCCGGAGAAACAGGTTTACAACGGCCAAATCTCTCCAGAATGACCTTCAGAGAGTTGCAGGAAACAGAGTCTCAACACAGACAGTAAGAAACAGACTTCACGCTCAGGATCTGAGGTCCAGACGACCAGTACGACGTATCCCACTGCCTGCACACCATCGACAACAAAGACTTGCTTGGGCCAATCAACGCCGTAACTGGAGGGTCAATCGCCTTGACTTCAACGATGGTAGGGCACGTGTGTGGAGAAACCGTAATGAATATTACAATTAATAAATAGTTATTAATAAATTTGGTCAGATGCTGCTAGATATGTTGTATACATTTCAGTTGTTCACTGTCAATAGGAGAGTGTATGGTTATTTCTTTGGAGAATTTATCTATAGTCGAAACCAAGGTGCGAGCGTTTATGATCATTTTATATGTTCTC